AGAAAAAAACATGATAGAAAGAGCAAGTTCCTGTTCTGAACAAGAAAAACAAGTAGTTCTTCTTTACAGCTTAACGTTTTTCTCAGTCTACTGAGAAATTAAAATAAGCATAACTGCACTTTTCTAACCTGTCTTAGAGAAAATAAAATATTGAGTATTCATACACATCCATATTCAATCAAATAGATTATTATTAAGAAGTTCATTTACTTCATTTACTCCAGTTACTCAGTTCAATAAGTGAAATCGTTATATAGATAACAATACAAATGTGCGCATAACATAGTTAATATTTGGCTAATGTAGAAAAAAAAAACACAATTTCACAGTTGCTGTGTTTCCATTAAATAAGAAATGCAATTAAAATCAAATTAAAATCATGTGAATCAGTTTGTTCGCACGATAAGCCATTAAAAAACATGTGGCGCCATGATGCTCCTACCACTTCCTGTCGTCTTCTTTGCATTTTCCACCAGTAACGACATCCCAACGCAAAACGTTTCATTGAAAGATTTGTCACTTTTTTTTTTTTTTTTTTTTTAAATTGGCACGTCAAACAAATTTATTTTCAGAAATCCAATCTGAGCAATTCTGAATGGTAACACAGCTACTAATGTTTTTGAACCTTTAACTTTGTTGATTAACAGGATTTTTTACTTACAGCTAATGAAAACATGACATTTAAAATAAGACCAATTAAAAGCTTTTTAATATCAGTAATATGGAATTAATAGAAAACACGTTTAATACCTGCTTAACGGTTGTTTTTAATCAATAGGCACTTAGTAATCTGACACAAACAAGCTTCATTGGAATTAAAATATTTTTTATTTAATTAGTATACTGTACTGTATATGTTTTTTATCTGTTCTTTACATTTAACATCTACTTGCTGTGAGGATGTGAAACTTAAATGAAAATCCTTGTTTGTGGGAACAAATTTGGCTGATTCTAAACAGAAAATGACAAACTTAAGTGACCCACTCGTTGAACTCTAGTGTAAAAAAAAAAAAAAAAAAAAGATAAATATAAAAAAAAAGACAAACTTTGAAAGGCTTAACAGAAAAATTAAGATTATAAAGTTACAAAAATGCGAGTCCAGTTGGGAAACTTTGCTGCATGTCTCCTGACTCATTTCCTGCCTCTAATTGAACAAAGGAAGTTGATAACATGGCATTCAGGTCTGGCCTTGCATTCTGGTATAATGTACAAGTTTTTCTCACGTCATTTGTATTTTTTTTATTCCACCAGGATCAGAGAAATAAAAAAATATTTCTGTTGTTTTCTTTTGATTCCAGTTCGGCTATTGTTCTCACTGATCAAAGAATGGCCGGCATTCACAGCCACATCTCTAAACACGTTCATCCATGTGGGCAGGGGCGTGGAAGGATGAAGGGCCTTAAAGTTTAGATCACAACAACAAACAGTACGAGAGAGAAAGAAAGAGAGACAGAGAGATAGAGAGAGGGATAGAGAGAGGGAGAGAGAGCTCAAAGGCTTCTACTATTTACCACCAGCGCAGCATGTTTGGCTTCGTCTCCTCAGCAGACCATGGCGAGCAGAGGTCAGCTCTAACCACACCGCTCCTCCTTGGTCTTCAGAAGCTGTTTTTAGAAGCAACGGGCAACACCAAAAATGGCCCAGAAGAGTATTTGGAGCTCCCTGGAGTGTGAGACTGGCAGGGAAAGAGCGAAGGCAAAATAATGGAGCTAAAAACGGTTGTAGAGGTCATAAACACGCCACTGGGAAGAAAACCTACCCTTCAATCCAACTCTGAAAACATTTGTATTAGCAGTTCGAAAGACAAAGAAATGTGAAGATGTTGTGTAGAATTAAGGGGAAACGTAACTGTTGAGGTCACCGTAATGTGCCAAGCAAAAGTATTCCCACCCTTAGAAGTTTTTCTTATTTCATCACAAGAAACCTCAGTGTAATTTTATTGGGGTTTTATGTGATAGACCAACACAAAGCAGTAGATTATGATGTGGTGGAAGGGAAATGGTGTCTTAATCATTTGACCATCTTACTACCAATTTCATTTCTAAAACCTTTTTACCATCCATTAAACAAAAAGTGTCACCAAAACAAGACATTTAAAATTAGAATGTCACCAACTATATAATAGACTTGTGTGGTACTTTATTGCAGTCCATACAGTTCTTTGCCATAGACACATTACATATATATACTAAGACTGATAGAACACTCAATTTGAGGAACAGGGAGATTGTTCAAAACTTGAAGGGAAGATGTGTGAAAATAAAAATTGGTCCCTCCTGGAAGACACCACAGAAAAAGCTTGACAATAAATGGCAAGCCTGTCACAATAACCTATAAAGTTAAATTAAAATGAGGTCAATAATTTCCATTCTGATGATTAATCATTTTCAGGGGTATTTCATTTAGTTTTGATTGTGTGTGGTTCTCATTTCCATTTTGTTTACTATTTTTGGTCATTTATTGATTTTTTGGTTGTTTAGGCTTTTGTTTTTTTGTTTTTTTTTGTTGTTGTTTAAAATATCTTCAATGCATCACATCCCACTGATGAATCTAATTATGCATTCCAAACAGACTTCTCTAGAGAGATTGCAGTCAATGCTCCACAGAAGATCAGTCCCATTGGTTGTGTCCCATTGTTTTTTTTATTAGCCGACTTAATATTATTATGATTCTGTGATGATATTGTCTGCTATCATTCCTCAGTCAATGTTGAAATCGACCCATAGACAGCGGCATCCATTAGTATTTTCGTAAACAGTGTTCTGCTGGGTGACGTCAATTAGAGTTGGGTGACATGGATTTTATCGCAATATTTTGTACTACTTGTTACAGACTTAAGGTAGGGGTTATACAGAGTATGTTATGGGATAAAAGGCTGATTATCTCCCCTACTCAGAGTCTCTGATGCTTCGATCTTTGCTTAGCTTCCCAGAGGAACTAAGCATGTGTCACAGACTGCAGTGGTTCACATTCATCACTTCTTTCCCAAAGGAACAGTGAAACACACATACTTGAGCAGAAAACACAAGGCAAAACATAGACTAGCTGTGCGAATGTGCGCAAAACTTTGTTAATATTCCACTAATGTCGAGAAAAACACAATTTCGCAATTGTGGAGGTTTCCATTAAATAAGAAATCCAATTTCAAAAATCACATGTGAATAAGTTTGTTCACGTGGTAAGTCATTAAAAAAACGTGCTCCATCATCATCCTCCTACAACGTCATGTCGTCTTCTTCGTCTTTTCCGCCAGTAGTAACACCTGGATGTTGATCATGTAACGCAAAAAAAAAGTTGCTTCCGTTGCAATTTTGCAGAATACATCTATTTCGTTAGGGCTGGAAAAACCACCTCATGCTAGCATGAAAGCTTCTTCATCAAAAACATGAGTTTTTTCAAAATTGGCATGTCTCCATTAAGCAAATTTATTTTTGTAAATTCAATTTGCGCAATTTTATGGTTGACAGAAACGCAGCTCCTCAGAGGATCGTCCTGGGTGTGGCTCTCAGGGGGAAGAGAGTGGCCTCATAACTCATCTGGGATGAGACAGCAGCTGTTCCCTCGGGGACGGGGGTCCCAATCCGTTCAGTTGATAGTTGCTGGCTCTGTTGCCATCTTACCAACCTCCACCCTACATCCATCCTACATCTACCCTCCCCCTCAATTAGCCTTTCCTCTCCCTCCCCTCCTTGCCGTCCTTCCCGGCTGACATCCTCCCATTCTCCGTCTGTCCTCGCCTCTCTTCCTGCCCCCATTTCCTTGATTAAACTGCGCTCCCGTGTGCCGTGTGGAGTCAGCGCGGTCGGCTGGATTTATAAGGCTTTCATCTTCCATCTCACTCTTCAGATGAAACAGCAGGAAGGAGTGGGGTGAGGGAGGAATTGGGGGTCGCACTGGACCAAGCACTTCCACTGAGTGCTTGGTCCCACTCAGTGGAAGTTGTACAACCTGCCAATCAAGGGCCGAGTTGTTTTAGAAAAGCCAACATCTTTGTTCAAACACAAAGTCGTCAAAAAGCGCTGTGGACAAATCCCCGCTGCGAAAGGCTTAAATCCTCCAGGGTGGCTCTCTCCCTGCCTCATGTGACGAAACCCGACAGAAATCACAACACATCATGTGAGATCACTTGTTGAAGCCCCTTTCATATGACCAGGCACACTAAAGGGCCTGCTGCAGATCCATTTAATCAAACGGGGAAGATAACATCTACGCGGGGCTGCAGCAGAAATTCCTCCTGAACCATCACCCATGAGTTATTTTGGAAAAATAAACTGAATTTTTCCACAGAGTTCACATGTTTCAGGTCTCGTATCCAAACTTTCCCACACTCAAACATACCAAAAAGTCTTAATCTTTTTAATACAGATACAAAAGTTGGGTGTGACTTCCTAAAGAGGCTTTTATGACCGAATATGACCAAAAATTTAAAAAAAAATCAATGGATGGATGGTTGGAAATCAAATGAATGTAATAGATGAATAGCAAAATGGATGATTACACTAAACAAACATGGTGATAGAAAATAATGGTTGACAGAAAAATGGATAGGTGGATCAAAGGTCGGTTGGAAATCAAATGAACTGATTGATTATTGGGTAAATAAATGGATCATGAACAAACTGAGGGATGATGGAGATATTGTGCCTGGGTGGATGAAAAACGTGGATGGGTGGAGTCAAAGTAAGAGATAGGTGGATGAATGGTGGAAAACAAAACAAAAAAAAGTTAATATGTCCTTTTTTCACACATATCCTGTTTTGGAAAAAGAATAAAACTAAGTGCAATACATTTTTCAGACTGTAGGAACCCTGGTTCAATTCCAAAGGAAAGCTACATCACAGTTTGTGGCAGTAATTACACTTTTTCAGCGATTACACACCATTCAAACAGACGAGGGGGTGTTTAAAACTGTTTTTTTTTTTTTAACCAGCTCAAATTAGTTAGCGGATGAAAGAACAAAAGAAAAGAGAAGAGAAAATTTCCAGTTTCAGCTTGCTTACCTCGCCGCTGTGCTGTTATATCCGATGCGACATACAGGAGCAAAGAGCGAGCTGTCCAGCTCCCTGTGATGTCCCGCTACACAGAAGCACTGAGAGCAGCGGCTGTCTGCCCTGTTGGCACCGCCGGACACTTTCTCCTCCGAGGACTCAAAGCTTCCTCCGAATCTTCATGCCACTCAACTTCCACTTGGACGATGAAAGCATAAATGTTACCATGTATTTAAGTCGAAAGAGGGAGCAGAAAGCCTTAAAAGAAACAACTGTATCCTTGAAGCGCCGGGAGCGGGTCTTCTCTCCTCAGACTAAATTAGGATAAAGCGGAGGGAGACACAGCACCGTCCGCAGCAAAGCGGCCCGTTAGAAACAGCGCTTCCCTCTTATTCTCTTCACAATAAAAGACAACTTTTAGAAGAACGATTATAACAAAAAATAAATCCAATCAATATTTTCCTACTTATAAAGCACTATCTCATTTTGAACAATTTTATATATAGTAAAATTCATTAAGCATCGAAATTATTGCTCTAACATTGAAAGTACTACAGTTTCTGACCATTCAAGATGCTCAAACAAATGTTGCAATATTGGTATTGTGATTTTTTTTTTTTTCTGAGTAATATTGAGTTCAGGAGTGCTTCACAGTCAAAGCCATGAAAGTCAAAAACAAAAACACACACATAACAAATAATATGGTATTGGAATTCTGAAATAAATTACTAGTAGATATCAATTATCTTTGTTAATTGAGGTCTATCTCTCTTATCTTGCATTCATATCCTTCAAAAATGTATGAGTTTCTGTCAGAAGGCGAGAAGAGGCCTGCAAATCATTTTAATATTTGGGGGTGCCATAGTGAAGTCCAATTCAGTGCCTTTTGTACATAGATTGGTTTTGTAATCTATGTACAAAACTAAATATGTATAAAACTGAAACTGGACTGTTGCAATACATTTCAAAGTAAATATACTATTCTATCATACTGAATGAAACATCTCACATTCCAGCACACTGGAATTAATTACGCACTTAATTTTATTTAATTCAGTTTTTTTTTTTACTTTTATTTTGAAGGCTGAGGCTGGACCGCGATCACGTCACTACCAGACCACAAAACTAGATGCCTATTTATACAGATGCTGCTCATGTCGACTGTAACGCTGCACCAGTTTTAGTCTGTGCCATCATCACATCGTCATCATCATCATCACCATAGCAAAGCCCACCATGTTTTAGCTTGAAAGATTTTTTTTACGCACTTTTGAAGTACTTTTTTTTTCTTTCTTTCTATTCATTCCTAAAGACCACCATAATTTTTTTAGTATGTTTTTGACGAAACAACTTCTTCGTATTTTAGCTTTCCACATAAGTGCTTCTTTTGGGTCTCTTTTTGTTCAAATAGCAAAGTCAGTTTATTTATTTGCTTTAAGCTTAGTGGTCAGTGTTACTGTCTTTGCTCTGGAGACATGGTGGAAAAAGAATGTAAGAAAAACAAACTGTCAGGTCCGGAAGCTCCTTAAATCCTGTTTAGCCTCCAGGGAATGTTTACAAGGGAATTCTTTCAGTCCCTGCGATGTGAAACAAACCCACTACCCCACGACAAGGATAAGACGGACGGAAAATGTGTCTATTGAATTTTTCTTATGGTTATAGAAAGCTAAACGTCTAGATATTTTTTGTCATTTGGTATAACTAAAAAAAAAAAAGTTCCCGTAGGCACAATCAGTTAAACCGGAGTATGACAAAGCCGGATGAGGCGCTATAATTAACTGATATGAATCAGATCTGCAGATTAGTCAACACCGTGGGGCAGCCTCATTCGTTCACATCCCAGATTGAGTTAAAATTACTAAAAAATATGTTCCTTTTGACTAAGCAGCAGGAAATAGTAGTCGATGAAAGATATAGGCCGTCTGGAAAGCCAGACGTCCCCCACAGGCGTCCAAATATTTTGACATTTCCTGTCAGAGAATTTATGGAACTAAGCAGACAGTCCAGTAGATTGGGTATTTCATTATCATCTGGGTTTATCGTCTTTGTGATCATCTTACCTCCGATTTTTAAAGGTTTTGGCTTCTCAAATGGGTTAAATCGAAAGAGGAAACCCCAAACAAACAGGAAAGGGAAGTGGTATTATTATTTAGTAACAAGTTTTGTTGTTAAATTGGTCCGACGCGTTTAGTGTGTACAAAGTCTAGTCATACAGCTTATGAGATGCGCTTTACAGTTTTCTCTTATATTTTACCTTTACTCTGATGCCCCCTTGTGGTGGAATGTAAATACTGCATGATCATAGAAATAAATGCAAAAGAAAAATGGTTTTCACCAAAAATGCACACACACTTTTTCCAGTAAAGACCAAAACCACTTGATTGGTAAAATTATAAACTACAGCCTTCCGTTCCTCTTCTTCTTCTTCTTCTTCTTCTTCTTCTTCTTCTTCTTCTTCTTCTTCTTCTTCTTCTTCCTCTTCCTCTTCCTCTTCTTCTTCTTCTTCTTCTTTTAAATTAGATGCTGTTTTCATAATGATTTTTCCAAAACGAATGAGACTCTCTGCCGTCCAAAAGATTTATCAATTAAGAGTAAAAACATATGTGGTGAAACGGTTAATATTCAACAATGATAGTCAAAGTAATGTATATGTTACTTCCTTATACTATCCCGTGACACTGACTTGTGAATGGCTGAAAAGAGTCAAAAAGAAAGAAAAAAGCTAGAAGTATAAATGTTATCATATTATCATAAAATGTAGGAGTGTGTGTGGGTTTGGGGTATTTTTGGTTAAAACGTTTGTTCTTCCTTCAGTAAAGTTACTCACAGTGGATAGACTAGCTAGAAATTCCACTCAAGTAAGAGCAGAGATGCTTTCCCAGATAGCACATGATGTTAAATCAACGTTGAAAAATAGTTAGAAACGTTGATTTTTGGTTGAAGTCGACAAATGA